AATGCAACATGGTGTTTTGTCTCTCTTGGTGCATTCTTCGTACTTGTGTCCTTCCATACAGTGACTGCAATATTCTTTGTCAGTGCAGTTTTTGGCAATATGATTGAAACCGCAGCATCGATAACATCTCAAGGTGGGTATAAAATCATCTGCAGTGATACTTGTCCATGACATGGATAGGTGTTTATTGCTGATAATTATCATTCTTATTGCAGGAGTTACTGTTAAGACTATATGACGGCAGTTTTCTTTAATCCTGCCCTTTGTGAGAACTGTAGTAATTTTACAAAAGTTAGTAAAGTCTTCTTTATTGATAGTTGTAAAGATGTTATTCTGTTTGTAGAGTGTTTCAACTATTCTGTCTTTTATTGAATTTGGGACATTTAATAAAATTATCCTAGGTTTGCGGCCTTCAGTAACGTGACATTTTACTTTGTGTTTTATTATGGGAAGATCTTCTATTGCATTGCGTAATGTTTCTCCTTCCTTAATATTTTGACACAGATGCAGATGCCTTCGTTTCTAACTTTTCATATGCCTTTAATTCTCACCCCTAATTCCTGAGGCTGTATCTCTTTCATAATTGTGTTAAGGATAATTTCAGTATCAACTGTTACACTGGAGTCCTCCGTTTTCGGATATATAAGAACAGCATTGTTCCCCCTTTTCCTTCATTGTCAGTAATTGTGTTGTTAATCGACTTAGTGGTTAAGCTAGGTTTTAGAGTTGTCCTCGCAATTTCTGCATATGTGGGTTGTCTCAAGTATTTGTTCGGTAGAGGGTCATTCCTACCCATTTCCGTTTCATTCTCCATAATTGATGAGATAATGTTGATTTGTTCCTCTCTAGACGCACGTATCTCAGACAATATTCCGTACATCTGGTGTACTGCATCGAAAAGATGCGTGACCCTTTCCTTAATCTCCTTACGCTCTTCCGTCTTGACATGGCTACGGTAATGCTCCGGGAGTAAGACCATAATTCTTCTCAGCTGCATTTGAGCATTATTAAGTAGGCTTTCTTCAATTGAAGAAGACGTAGAGTTAATGTCCTCGTTGGCTGAAGGAGCCAGCTGGGAGATTTGTGGTGTGCTTGCTCCCTGGCTTTCAAAGATTATACTTCTATCCTCCATTGAAAGTAAGAAAAATACTAATAAGTAACAAAAGAAACGATCTGAGCTAATATAATTTGAATGTGTAACCCGCAGAAAGTGTTATGTACAGTACCTGTAGCCCCAGCTAGAAGAGTGTATTGGACAGATGGGTTTGAAACCCAAGCAGACTCCGCACTGAAAAGCTGAAACACTGAACAGTGTGGAGGGGAAAAATAGACAGCAATAGAAAAAGATAAAACTAACCTGCAGGATTCTTAGTTAACAAAACTGTACTAGCCTTATTAGCCTAAAGTAAAACTCTGTAGACTTCTGACAAATGGGAAGATTTGTGGGAAATGTTGTCTAGTAAAAGTGTGAGGTCAGCCGATTAGGGTGAGGTTTTTCGACAGCCGAGCGGTTCTTTCTGTCGTGTGGGCGCAGAATGACTTTCTGAGACAGGTTTACCATTTTTAACCCGTTTATTATTACAAAAGATTCTTACAACGTTCTTCAAATTTTCAACGAAACACAGCTTGGGGAACAAATTAAAAGTTCCTTCAAGAGTCCGACTTTCTCCGTTTGGTCCCTCGATGTCGTACGTTGAGATCTACGGCCCCGGGGCGTGTGGCACAGCTTCGGCGAAAGTCTCTGGTGAATGGCAAATCCATGCAAATCACGACGTCACAGGAGAGCGACAGTAAGTCACAGGAGTTGACGAATCGGTCGCTGTTGATAAGTAGGATCACAAAAATCCTGGAGAGGAGCACCAAGAACCAAGAAGAACCTTTGTCCCTTGAGTCGCACGGTTTTATAGATTTCTTAACCGTCGTCGCCTCTCCATTGGTCTCTCATAGTCACCTGGTGACAATTCGAAACCTAATGAAGGGCGCGGGAGAGGTCAACGTTGCAACTGAATATGATTCCTCTCTCTTGTCGCGTTTTTGTAAATTTGTTAAACAATGGAAACATTGTTAAACAATGTTTCCATTGTTTAACAAATTTACAAAAAAAAACAATTGCATTGTTCAATCGAGACACCTAATCCGTTTCCTTAGCGTCTGAAAAGGAGCTTTTTATTTTAAATCGACACCCATAATTCGGACCTCTCAGTCGACCCCTGTTCGGGTCCTCACAAAAGCTGAGGTCCTGCAGAGTTGACCACAGTAGGCTGTAAAACTCCAATGGCAAAAGAATTAATAAATATTCAAAAGAACAAATATTCTATAAAACTATTAAAAGTGGCTCATAGCCCATAAACTTAAGGCTAAAAAAAATTTAAATAATTAAGAAAATAACCTGACCAGTAAAAAGTGAAGAACAGCAGAAAGAAATTTTCTAAACCCTCACAATACAACCCACCCACTTAACGACATGAGCGATAGACGTATTAGGGTAAATTAGAGTATGACAAAAATGAAACACCGCACCCGACGAAAATGCACTAAAAAAAAAATAAAAGAAAAACACGAATGCCCAACCTGCAACCGAATTAGAAAAACAAAAGCCCATTAGTGACCCACTAATGGAAAAATAAAAAATGTTATAAGTGGCCACAAATTAAGCCAAAGGTATAATAAAATGAGCAGATGACACCTTGTAACGAGGTGTGTCAATGGTAATAAGCACAACCCAAAAATAACCAAAACTAACCGAGAAAACACAGCTTAAACTATTATTATGTTAGGGTTAAACAGGGCAAATCAATGGCCCCAATGCCATTACAGAAGAAAAAGCCCTTTAACTCTTGAACAAAACGACCCAAAAACTAAAATTAACAAGACACACAGATTAAATTAATGCCAAAAAACACCCCAAGAATTAGCCCGATCAAATAAGCGGTAATCCCGCTAAAAACCTGCAAAGCGCTAAAATTCAGGTTGAGCCATTGGGCCAAAAGAACCTCACTGATGACATTTAAACTAAAAATAAATCGAAAATGATAGGAGTGAAAGATCCTAAAAGCTTTTAATAATGCGAAAAATCAATCGTCCGTATATTCAAAAAGAGTTTGAAAAACAACCATTACAACGGTCAACCGCTATCGGTCAAAAAACAGCCGTATCTCCCGGAAAAACAGGCAGATTTGGACTCCATGAACAACAATATAAACTGGAAAGCTTCAGTAGAAAGATAGTAAAAACAAACTTACTTTAACCTATGATTTAACTTTAAAATTTCCAATAGAACAGAGAACACTTTCGCACCACACACAGACTGACTGACGCCTTCTGTTTTTCCGTCTCTATACACTGCCAAAACGCACTAGAGAGCATACTTCATCAGTCTGGTCCTATCAAAGTCCCCACCAAGAATGATCCTCATTCTCCCAACTTAGCCCTCATGGTGTCATTCCTTTCTTTTGTTCTCAGGATTAGTCATCACCACCCAAGGAGAAAGAGTTAAAGAAAGAATATTCTGGAAAGGATAGACAAAGAAACAAAGAAAGAAAGAAAACTACAAAATTATTATAAATATATATATACAACATGGTGGAATGCCACAAGTCCTGCTGAAGTCCCACAAATTTGATTTTATATAAATAATTTTTGTACACAAGAAATATGAGATCATTCAAATGTATTTATAAGCAAAAATAATTTTAGAGTATATTTGACAATTCTTTTGTCACTTTTGTTTCAAGGACCCTTTCATCCTGAGTCCTGTGTCTATGCATTTGTTGCACCTGCCTAGTTATGGCACTGAAGATAATGTATGTATGTTAGTAAAAAGTATATATGGAAGGTGCTTGAACAAAATATTAATGAAATCTTTACAAAGGTAAGACTACATCATCTGAAAAGTAAACAAAAGTAAAAATCTTGTAAACATACCCTAAGAGAAAATAATGATTTGTTGTTTGTAGGACCTTGATGACTTTAATTGTTGGCATAAATTATATCATTATTGAGGAGTTGATTGGAAATCTGAAAGAATACATTGATATTATCCAAATAGAAGAGCTAATATTTTTCTTATTGATTCAAAGGATAGCATCAAATTGAATTATCACAGGAAACATATATTAACAAGGTCCTGAGCAAGAATTAGAAGATTGCTATCTGAATAACCTTAACTAAAATTTAGATAAAGACTTACTACCCATGAATCAAAGAGAATATTAAGAATTGTTAAGATCTTTAATGTATTTATATGATTGGACACAACTTGATATTAGCTTTCACATAAGTCAGTTATTTCAATATAACAGTCAATTGAAGTAACCCACTTTATTGCTGTTAAGAGTGTATACATATTTAAAGGAGTTTCAAAACTTAAAATTAATTACAGTAAAGAGTAAGGAAAACTGAAAATACACTGACTCAAGTAACTATTCCCCAAAAAGTGCTAAGTCATTCTCAGATTAATATTAAACTTGAAAATTACTTGACAATTGAAAAACTTGCAAACACTGGCTTATAGCATTGTCAATGTGCAAAGCTGAACTAATGGCAGCATGTGAAGAAACAAGGGAAGTGAATTGGTTTAGTAATTTCATTTGAAATTGAGTTCCCAAAAAATAATAAGACATCACTGCAAACTATGGTAATAAGCACGTGGTGAGGGTTGATTTCACAAAGAAATGGGTATATAAAACAAATAAGACGTGCTTTATTATTTTCTGTGAACATATACAGGAAAGGTTCTTGTCGATTCCGACCTCCTGAGTCCTTACATCAAACAAAAGAACAAACAACACCTTTTTTCGATTCACAGTCGAGCAAGACTTTCGCGATACAAAAAGATACTTAACTTCTAACTTANAATAATTAGTAATATTAATATAAAATATTTGAATCATAACTAAATATATCTTTTAACTTTTTGTTTTTCGATAAACTATACTGTACATATTGAACATACATTTTTCATCATTTTTCATGATACGTAACTTATTATTCTTATTTAGGTACAGAAGAATTTCTTGAAAAAGAAATAACAGAAAAAATTAGCCCTCTTGAAAACTTAACTAATTCTGCAGAATTAGTTGCATCTGGTACGTAATAAATATTCTCTTAATTTAAATAAATTAGGAATTTAAACGATATGAAAAATTTTATTTATTATGATTTATGTTTGATTGATAAAATAATTTTTCAGGTGTATCAAATTTCACTGATATTCTTTATGCAATAAATAATGCTGGAGATAGAATATTTAATAATAGTGAACTTATTAAACAAGGATTGAGACATATTAAAGAAGAATTAGAAAAACTAAAGGAGAATTGTACTTCTGATAAATGTAAACAGATAAACCCTGATCAGTTTTCTATTGATTTGAATTTTCAGAATGTAAGTAAAGCGGTTGTATTGGAAATATGGTAATTTAATTCTATCAATTATGATTCAACCAATAAGGCTATACAATTTATAGTAGAATAAAGTACACATTTAAAATAAAAAGTACACTTGTACTTTTTACGTACAAGTGTACTTTTATAACAGTAAAAAGTACTTATATAACTTTTTACTGTTATATAAGTACAAGTGTACTTATATAACAGTAAAAAGTACAAGTGTACTTTAAAAAGTACACTTGTACTTTTTACTGTTATGCAAATTTCCTTAGATTTAATTCAGTTTTACATATTATACACATCTCAAAGCCCAATGAGTTAATATAATCATCCAACGATTGCCTAAATATTCGGGCTATAATCAAATAATTAATGCAAATAAATTTGGTACTAGAGGTAAGTATTAGGTGCCATCTCTTATCTAAATTAATAATTATAATTTTAATAATTTAATAAATAATTTAGAACCTTCTGGAAGAGAATATGTATATATATACTTCACCAGGGACAGCAATAGCTGGCTGAGTGCTGCAGAGGAGATGTTCATTGGCCGTTGACATAGGATCATCTTCAGCCAGTGCTGTTAGTAACCATGGAAGATTATATCAAAAATTTAAATACTTCTGAGAGCAAAGGCTGGCTTGGGTCTGGGTGACACAATTGGTAGTGCACCACATGGCAAGTGGAGATTGTGGGTTCATGCCCTGCCCCGGGTCAGCTATTTTCTTCTAGAAGATTATAAATTATTTATTAAATTATTAAAATTATAATTATTAATTTAGATGAGAAATGGCACCTAATGCTTACCTCTAGTACCAAATTTATTTGTATTAATTATTTGATTATAGTAGCCATATTATAGCCTGAATATTTAGGCGATTGTTGGATGATTATAATTGAGTTTTATTTCTCAGCTGATTTTATATTTGAGTCACTATTAGTTTGATTTTTGTTTTACATTCTCCTGATAGATTGTTAATATCTTCAAATAGTTTTAATAAACAGCAAAATTTGTTCTTACATTCAGAAATGTATTCTTTTATATTTTCCTATGTTATTATTTTTAGATAGAATTATTTAAATCTAGCAAAAATATTCTGAAATGTATTTTCCATAAAAAGATAAAAGTTTGACTTTCAAATTTATTACTTGTCTTTATTTTCTAATAAAGATTGAACAGAAACAAAATTTAATTCCAAAGTTACTTAAAATATGATATTGGTCTAATGGGAAGGGATCTCACAATCCAGGAATCACTAAAGTGTACAAGTACAAGTGTACTTCCTACTTCTTTTGGTGGACATATTCATTTGGTATTGTTATACATTGGTTACACATTGTATACATTGGTATTGCACAAGTTCTGTGTGTTCAGAGAAAAATATGAACAATACTGACAAAACACTACAAACACCATCCTAAGTTGTCCATAGAAAGGCTGACTCTTCCTTATAAAGAGAGAGAATGAGGCCTCAGTGAATCCAGAAATCTTTACAGGAGGTGAGAAAGGAAATGATATGCCTTATAAAACTTTTTATTACCTGAGGTATGGCTTTACTTGGAAAATAGCCAGAAGGATTGTGCCCTACACACCCCCTAAATCTATCCTTGCTCACAAATATAATAATTAAGCACTACACATAAAACCAATATCCAGCAGGAATTACAAAAAATTACAAAAGCAAATGTTTTAACCCATGTTTAACAGTCATCATCAAGCTAAAAAATGATGACTGACGATGGTTTTTAGCATGATGATGATCATTCAACATAGTGAAAACTTTTCCTTTTGTAGTTTTTTTGTAGTTTTTATTGGATATTGGTTTTATGTTTAGTGCTTATATCTAGTTTGAGTCATTGAATTTCAGATATAGTAAATCTTCACTACAAACAAAGTCTCTGTAAGAGTTTTTCTAAAAAAAAAACAAGGAACATCACAATTACATGAAGCTGAGATTCTTGCAGACAAAAATAATACACTATTAAAATTATACAAAACTGACTTAAATCTAATACAGCCACAAAATGCACAGACACCATAAAGCAGTCTTGTATTCAGGAGCTCCATGGTAGGAACCCTAATGATCTCAATCAGGATCACATTGACAGAATTGCATTAAACTGTAAATTTAATGAATTTCAAATATGTCAGCACTGGGTTAACATATGCATTGATTGCTTTAAATATGTGCTTACATTTAGCTTTATTGCTAGTATTGAGCTTAACCTGCAGTTATATTCTTTTGTTATGCTCTGTTTAATTTGTGTTCTGTAAGTTTGTCCTGTTGAAATCCAACATATCTGTAGACTGTTCTCATCTATGGATTTGGTAACATTTCTATTTTCAAATGGAAAACCATCATTTTTCAGGATTTCTTTTTCTATTTGAAGTGTTCTGCATTTGTGTAATCAAAACCTCTGTAGTTCTGTAGCATACCGAAATACGACAGTGTGAAGGTGAGGGTAAGATTGATAAGGACTGTACAAATTAATAAGGTACAAAACAGATTTAATCAGAGAACGATATAATTCTGAGGTTCATTTACAATTAAAAACAGATGGGAAATCTGTTATCCTTTCTAGCCCGACACAAGAACGAAGAAAAAACCAATCACTCGTAACTTATGTGACGCGACAATCCGGGTTCTTTTAAGTTAGAACTAGTACAAATATTCCTACAAAGACGATGCTAGTTGAGTCCTCTGTGTGATGTCTCTCTCTCTCTCTTGCTACGCTGATTTCCACTTCCATGTGGTTATTCTTTCTTTTTTCTTTCTTTCTGCACTCCAACTTGATTCCTCTGTTGCAGACCAGACACGATCCAGGAGAAAAAAGTACTCTCACACACATGGCCCTTCCATTTATAACCCATGCCATATACATGACATGGTAACACACGTCAGAGCTTGGGCCAATCACGGGCTCGCACCACCACACCACAAGATGTGATACATATTTACAGAATAAAATTACAAAACAACTCAATATGCGATCACATATCGAGTTGTTTTGTAATTTTATTCTGTAAATATATATATATATATATAATGATGACATTACATATACTTAGTGATAATCACTACACCTCTCTTGAATGTCAGTGGATTAAGTAGGTATGTAACTTATAATAAGTGTTTTAGTTGCACTTGTACAGATGCATAGAGTTTTATGTCAACCATATACATAGGATAAGAAATAATATAGTGAAGTGTAGAAAATCTAGATATCAGAAATCTGAATTCAGCCATTGAAAAATGGATATTAACTCTCTCAATAGTAATTTTATTGTTGATGTTCTTTTAGTCCTACATTCATGAAGCTCTTAATATTCATTCAGAATTTATAATTTTTTAATTTTGAAATTTTGATTAGAATATTTTTTGTTTAAATATAGTGAGTGATTCTGTAAATTATATTTTGAATCTTTGTAAGTAATCCTATATTCATTGTGAAATACTGGTTTGAACTTAGAACACCTAAACTTGAATTATGGTGTATTTGGTGTTTGTATTATTTAAAATGCTAATTTACATGTATATTTGAAAATCCAAATTGGATCTGGTCCCAGTGGTCCAGATTTTCAAGCTTCACTGTACATATTGTGTTGTTTTCTTGTGTTTGTTGTTTGTCCATATTTAGTGTTGTTTAATCTATTGAACTGGGATCAAGGCTGGACAAAACTAAATTGGACTTAAGAAATATTTCTAGAAAATGCCTTACTTTATGTGTTTTTTGTTTGTTTTTGATATATGTGTCATGAAATCTGAGTTAGTGTTGTATTGTGCTTTCTAAAAATATAATGAGTGTTGGTTGTATTTTGTACATATGTATGCTGTGGCCGTACACCATATTTTGTATATTGATTATTTTTAGTTTAGTTTAATTTCCTTTCTTTTCTCTTTGTTTCATTGTTTTATCCCCTCTAAATGTTCTTTCTTAACCTTTCCCCTTGGGTGCTGATGACCAATCCATGGAACAAAAGAAAAGAAGCCCTGAGGGCAAAGTTGGGGGAGCAAGAGGCACTTTTTGACTGGGACGTCCAAGGGAAAGGATGTGGAAAGGTCATACTCCCAGGTCATGTATTAGCAGTGACTGGAGACGAAAAGAAGCCCACATGAGTTCCAAAAGCAAGTCTGGCAAAGAGTGCCATAAAGAGACTCACAGAAGATATCACAGAAAAATTGCAGAAAAGACAAAACAGAGATCATCTGTTACCCCCTCCCCCAGAAACAAGGATCAGGATTGGCATCACATCCAAGATTACTGTGAAGAATGGGTACCTTCTTGGTACCCGTTCTTCACAGATTCTGTGTAAAAATGGGTACTTTCCTATAGACTTATCTCTTAAATCTTTCTACATCTATCATTTCTCTTCTTCCTTAGTATTTAGTTAGTTTTAAGGCTTTAGAAATAATCGTTTTTCATACCACTGTCACAAAGATATCGACACGTATTCTTTGTTGTGAACCTATCATTAATCGTAGTTTTTTCCATCACTTTTGTTATGGGTATAATCTGTATTAATATAAAATTTTCGACTGAGGGGAGTTGGAATCCTAAAGAACCTCATTCATCATGCAAAATAAAGATATTGTTGTTTATATATGTATCTTTGTGTGCTTCATGATGAACGTCACAATACAATAACTGTGAGTGTGGGATGCTGTTAAATGTTTTCCTGTAATCTATGTACAGTATGTCTAAGTTTCTATGTTATTTGTGTGCTTGCTGTAGAATGATTGAATCTATGACTAACTGTTCTTTGCATCCCATGTTGTTTCTACAACAGCCATTTTGTTCTCAGTGAAAATGTTATGTTATTCTATATGATGGATTGTTTGTGGTGCATGAAGTGAGTATTTTGTGGAGTGTAGGAAGGAACATGATTGGTCTATGTAGGATTTCTGGTGATGTTATTTTTGGTTTCATATATATGATGCTCTGTGTAAGAAACTTTGTCATTTCTAGTGGATTGCAGATTATATAAAATGCTCAGCTAGATCCTGGTTTAGAGATATTTATATTTCTTATTTTATATTTTAATAATAATTGAAAATGGAATATAAATATATATCTGCATATTTTTGTTTTGTTTATTCATCTGTTTATTTCAAAAATTTAAAACTTTTTTAATATAAGGTTTTAACAGTAATTATATTTTCCAGGTTTTTATAAAAAATGCATTGGATTCATTCAGCAAATTGAATTCCACAGAATTTGAAAGTAGTCTGCAAAATGTAAGAATTTTAATCATTAAATTATTGTTACTATAATTTTGTGCACATAACCCACAAGTTTACAAAATTGTTAGAAATAAAACTTTTGTATAATGTACATTAGTGTGTGCCCTGCACTTTCAATATGGTGTTAAAAATATGAAACTTACTAGTACACATTTTAAAAGATATCACCTCAACTTTTTCCTGTTAATTGAATTTCATCTTCATTGACAGTTCATTGTAGGTTTAATTATAATTGAGGTAGAAGAAATGGGAAAAAGTAAATATTAGATATAAAAACTTGTAAAGTTGATAATGATATCAGTTTGAGAGTCCAATTACTCAATTCCAAATCTCTGTAGAAAGAGAACAATGCTCTGTTTTCACTTGCAGAAAATACCACAGAAAAATAATTTAGAAATGGAAAACAAAAGGAATTGTTTTGTAGCACAGAGAGAATTAGGAAAAAGTAAAAAATGCTTAACGTTTCTTTTGTTGTAAACAGAAATTAAAAATCAACAGCCAATACAAAGCAAGAAACAATTATGATATTGAAAGAGCAACATGACAGACACAACAAAACGACATAGAATGTTGATTGATTATGACAATAAATACTGCTATATTAGAACATTTTTAACTTCTAAAAAAAGTGAAAAAGAAAGGAAAAATAAATTGAAAATGAGAATATATATGAATAAGGTGATCAGATGTACAAAGGTTAAAAACAGGAAATGTGTTTAAGAAAGGACGTAGTTACAAAAATCAGCAAACTGGCTAGTTTTTATTCCAAATACATTTTTATTACATTTAATGAAACTAAAGTTTCTTGAAATGACATTTATGGAATACTATTTTCTTTCATTAGATGAGCTGATTTTTTTTTAACATATATTTATAAATTTAGCTAAATAAATATTTATATTTCTTATTTTATATTTTACTAATATGTAACTTAGTGGAATATAAATACATATCTGCATATATATTTTATTTATTCATCTGTTGATTTCAAAAATTAAAAATGTTTGTTTTCTTTTTATATCAGATTTTGATTTGGTCATTACTTATCTATTTAAATCAACACAAAGTATATTACTTGAAGTTGTATTTATCATTATTCTGTCCTTTACCTGAAGAACTTTCTATTTTAAATATGTTCCTTTCATCATTCATTCATTTTTTTTTCATTCATTCATTCGTGTTTTATTAATGCAAATAACTTACATTGCCTGATATTGCAATGCATGATCAGGCTTTGGATACATATAAAGTACATGCAGTAGAAGGTAGATGTGAAGCTAACACATCAAACAAAAGTATAATGATAGTGTTAATTAAGCAAGTTATGCAATATAAAAGACAGATCATATGTACAGTTAGGCTAGAACTTGAGCCTTTACAATAGAGGTTGATTAAGTGAGATAATTATAAGATATTTACTTAATTTATGAGAAGTTTACATGCCAAGACAGTCAGGTTTCAATGGCTAATTAATAGTTGTAGTCCTAAAATATTTCTCAACAAACTGGAGAAACAGATTATGAGTCTCTTTGTCATGCATTAAGTCTTGTGCCTCACAAGACCAGCAGCAATTTTTGCTGAGAAGCAGCATCCTTAGCTGGTTTATTTCTAATTCCATTGCTATACACTCAAAAATGTAGTGGAAGCAACCATCCCATTTATTGCAGGTGGGAAATAAGTCATTGTGGTGCAGGGAAATCTGTTTAGGTAGGAGCTGAAATGACCATGGTTCGTATAGAATTGCATGGTTGATGAGTTATTTTTATCCAGTTGTTATGGAGTAGCAGTTTTAAATCAGGAAAGAACTGTCTTGTGATTGAAGGAATATTATTATTCCAGTGCTGTTGCCAGTGTTGTAATAGCTTGTTCCAGAGTATAGTTTTAATTGCCTTGAGGGATAGTTTGTTATAACTGATTGGGATATTCTGATTGCTGGCTGCCTCCCTTGCTAGAGTATTTGCTCTGTCATTGCTGGATTTTCACTTTGGGATCAAGTCCATTTGAAATAGTAATCATTGTCAAAAGTGACTATTATTCATTGTATGGTTGAAGCGATGGAGTGCAGAGACCTTTTCTTGATTGCTGATAATGCAGCAGTGCAGTCAGTAATGAATGGTATTCTATCATAGTTAACGGCTTGTTCATATCAGTTAATGGCCTGCAATAGCGCATGAAGCTCAGCCTGGAAAATAGTGCATAGGGCCCGAAATGAAATGATTTGGTAAGGCTTTCTACATTCTCTTGGTAGACTACAAAACTGGCTCCCACTTCATTTTCCTGTCTGGAATTCCATCTGTAAAAATTGTGATGGGACATTCTGTGGGGCAGTCCTCTGGAATTCTTAAGTTGGTATGGGGCTTAAAGTGAGCTCAAATGTGATTGGCTGTTCCCATAAGTCTGGAGATATTAACATTTGCATAGTCACATTTTTGCCTCATTTTATTTTCCAGATGCATTGGTAATTAATCATTAGATCTATAGGGGGTTTGTGGGCAAGGGCCTGTAAGCTGGCATTAGCTGTGATCTTGTATACTTTTGTTATAAGCAGAAGTGCCTTCCACTGTACAGATATGTTTTTCTTTTTTTTTTTTTGTATACTTTGCTAATAACATTTTCCCAGGTACTGCACCTATACAAAAGCATGGAAAGAAATATGCTATTATAAATGGTCCCCATAGCCTTGTTGTTCAAGCCCCACAAGGTTTTAGCCACTTTTGTGAAGGCCTGCATGATATGCTTGGTTTGTTAAGTGATGTAGTGGACGTGTTGGTTCCATCAGAGGTGGTGCTCTAGAATAATGCCCCAGTACTTCAACTCCTTCACAACTCCTATGTGGCTTCCATTCATGCAGAGTGTGGGGAGACAGATGTACAAATTTCTCTGCCCTGGCAGATTAAAAACGATTGCTTTCATCTTTCTTGTATTGAACTTCAATTTATTTTTTTGAATCAATCATCTGTTCACTGAATCCACTGAATTGCATTTAGTAAAAAGATTCTTTTAAAAATATAAACATCAAATAACCTGATTCTTGATTAATATGAAACTATCTGCCAGATTGTTTATAGCCATAATATAGCCCAATAAAATCTGGCAAATCATTTGATATTAAGATTCTTTTAATATTTATATAATGTTTTGATATACAAAAGATATATTTTACAATTTTTATCAGTTCTGAATGACAAAGCTTGCCAAAATATCAATTAATGACTTATTTGCTTTTTCCATATACTATTAGTCCATGGACAGTAAGCTGTGATTATGTTCTATTTCATACCCAAGATTTCAAATGCATCAGAAAAAAAGATAATGTGAAGTTTGCATCATAATCAGATTTCTGAACTGGAACTTGCTTCTCTTGGAAAACCATCTAAAAAAAAAAGGTGGAAAGCAATTTATGACACCAGGCTTGGCATCTAGACTGGATTATACAGAAGGTGAACAACCAAAATGCCACTGTGCTGCTTCATGCTATTGGAGAAAGTCTGGGACAAAACATATCCAAATTCTCTAAATCATTCCTCAGTTTGCCATAGTCATATTAGGCAACAGAAAGCAACAGCCACAGAAATAATCTCTCAATTTAATCCAAGTGTTAATCCTAGTTATGTATTGGGATGGCAAGCTGCTGTCAGATCTTACTAGAAACAAAGTAGTTGACCATCTTTCTATTTTAGTTACAGGTGATGGAGTAGAAAAACTGCTCAAAAAAATTTTGGCTGGAACTGGATTGGAAAGGGGCAAGGCTGTATTTGGAATTGTGAAATCTTGAATAGAAAGTGAAAGGGATGTGTTTTGACACTACAATGTCAAATATTAGATTAAAAAAATGGAGCATGTATCTAGATTGAGCACAAATTAGACAAGGACCTCCTCTACCTTTCCAGCAGACACCATATATTCAAGCCAGTACTGGAAGTTATCTTCTCTGTCACTTTAACTCCATCAGTAAGCCCAGAAATATTAATATTCAAGAAACTTCAAGCACATTGTGCATCAGTGGATAAGATAAGATTGAATACAAAACTGCACTTGATGAATTCACTACCAGTGATGTTGCTGACATTAAAGCTGAAATAATCACTTTTGCTTTGGAGAATTGAACCATCAGCAATCTTGCAATGATACAGAGAGCACCTGGAAATTTCTTAATCTTTCTTGGAAATGAACCTCATAATGAAATAAGATTCTATTTGAAAATGTGGTTTGAAACACCACAACCTTCAAAAGAATCTTAAAATATTCCCAGCAGAAAAATTTTAATGAACTATAATATAGACACACATTTCCAATCTATGAATAAGATCTGTATCAGGTCTTAGTCATGTTCCAAATTGGAATGCTAGCTTAAACATGATGTATTTTGAATATTTTCAAATATGTTTAAATATATACAAATATATCAAGATATACTTGATGAATATATCAAGATATACTTGATATATTCATCTGTATTTGTCCATCTATATTATACTTTATTAAAATTTTTCTACTGGAGTTATTTTAAGGGTCTTTTGAAGATGGTGTTGTACAGTATATGTGGTATGATCCAAAAGTTTGGGGACTGCAGTAATGTATGACAACAAAAGCATGTCTTTGAAGTTACAACATATGACATGGATTCTATCAAACCATTCCTACGTGTTCAGGTTGGTGATTAAACCGCAAGTGCTGTTGTTTTCTTTCAGAGATAGTTATCTTTGTTTTGTGACGTAATAAAATTGGAGTTTCAAGAACAGCTCTGCAACATTAAATTTGTCAGCGTTTAGGTAAAACATCTACAGAGTCTACAGAGTCTACAACTGAAAAACAAATAACAGTTTCTTTAACACCAGAAACACACAACTGAGATTTAGATACTTTAAACAAGAGAGACTTTAAAATTGCTAAGAAAGGTGTATGGTGATTTTACCATGGTGAAATCAAAGGTGTACAAATGGCATTGTTGTTTTAAAGAGGGTCAAGAATCCATCGTAGACGATGAACGCTCTGGCCGACCTTCAACTTCACGGAACAAGGAAAATGTTGAATTGGTCTCTTAATGTGTTCTCAAAGATTGTCGCCAAACCCTTGAAAAAATTGCTGCAACTACTCACTTATCAAAGACTAGTTGCCAGCGTATTTTAACGGAAGATCTTAACATGCACCGAGCAAAGGGAAAGTCATGATTGAGGTGTTTTTTGATTCTGAAGGAATTGTTTATTCAGAATTTATTCCCGAAGGCAGAACAGTAAACAAAGAGCATTATCTAGACATTTTATGTCGTTTGGGGAATCCATTTGTTGTAAACAGCTACAGATCTGGCAAAGTGGAGACTGGTACCTTCTACATGACAACGCACCTGCACATTGGTCCCAAATGGTCACACAATTTCTCGCCAAAACTCAAATTAATGTGCTTACACACTCTGCCTATTCACCGGACTTAGCCCCGTGTGATTTTTATTTGTTTCCATCAACGAAAAATCATTTGCAGGGATGCTGTTTTGTGTCATCAGATGAAGTGAGAGCAGCATCGCAGGAGGCCTTACGGAAGGTTTCAAAAAATGGCTTCCAGAAGTTATACGAGTGCTGGCAAAAGTGTATTGTTGCCCAAGGTGATTACTTTGAAGGTGGTTGTGCATCAGCAATATAAACTTTTTAAGGTACCATTAAGATAAATTTTAAGCCAAGTCCCCAAACTTTTGGATCGTACTACGTATTTCTTCTAGCATGGTAAAGATTTTGGAAATGGAGCTTCAAACCACTTCTAATTGCTGTGCCTTTAAATGATATGTTTCTGTTGAAGAATTTTCAGCAATACAAGATTACAAACTCCACAGTTGTCGATATTGCTCTGAAAAAGCCTGCTGGTCATCTGTGTTACCTCAATGAAGAGTTTGTTGCCTTTGGTTTCTTTGATAAAAGAGTACCATAGATATAAAAGTCAAAGTGATTGGAGCTGTCTAAAGTGAAGGGAATGAGAAATCACAAAGTGACTGACAATTGATCACAATAGCTTCTTGGAGAAAAATGTGGACTATTTTGTGTCAGCCAACACTTTGAAGTTTTCTGAAACTCAAAGAATTGGACCTCAAACTCTGTCTTTTTGATGCTCATTTCATGGAAATATAGGTCACATCAGGTCCATCAATTGCATTAATGATATGGCAGAATACAAAATATTCAATTGCAGAATACAATCAGTAGTATTCCCAGGATGAACAAACAAAACCAGTTTCTTCTGCAGATTGTCAAAGATCACTGGAAGAGATATCCAGACTTTAGGATGAGAATACTTGTCAATAACAATTAATATTCAACTATGTGATTATTATGTATTGTTAAATTCATCTTATGGCATTGTAGCATGGAAATTGCCAAATGTAAATTTTAAATGTTTAGTACTGTATTACCTTGTATTTTGCTTAAAATAAAGAAAATGTAATGTTTTAAACTTTGGTAGCAACTTCTAAATTTCATCTAATTGAAAAAGTAATATTCCCAAAATTTGGCTAAATTTTGGGAATATTACTTTTTTAATATTAGAACAAGGTAGGCAGGTGTTGCAAACTAACACTTTTGTTTTAGTCCCTATATAAGGGCTACCCTAATATACTTATCAAATACTAGCAGGTGGGCCCGGCATTGCTCGGGCAAAAGTAACGATAACTAAGATAAAGATTATTACGTTACAGTCAACCTTACCCGTTTTCACAGAATGCAAGAATTGGGTCTCCTTGTTTCCAGACTAATTAGAGAATTTTTAGATGGGTCTAAAAATATGTTCGATTTCCCGCAAAAACGAAAAAAACTGCATCTGCGTATCGCACGTCGCTTTCTCTTAACAATTCCATTGTTACGTAACATTTCCACTGTTGACACTTCCATTGTTACTTCAAACTTTTATTGTTACTTAAAACTTCCATTGTTACTTAACACTTCCATTGTTACTTAACACTTCCATTGTTGATGGAAGTGTTAAGCCTTAATCCTGTCCCTCTCCCCATGGGGAGGAATTTCGAAAAATCCCTTCTTAGTGTGCGTTCTCCTAACGTACTCTAACTGTGTACCAAATTTCAACTTTCAACTCCTAACCGTTTGGGCTCATATCCATAATGTATATAGAAATTTTAATCCTGTCTCTCTCCCCCCCGGGGGAGAATTTCGAAAAATCCCTTCTTAGTGTGCGTTTTCGTGACGTACCCTAACTGTATACCAAATTTCAACTTTCAACTCCTAACCGTTTGGGCTCTGCGCTGATTATTATTATTATTATTATCAACCCGTCTCGATTATATATTAGATTAAATGTGATCATTTGAAAAGGATGTTAAAGTCTCCATATATAAACATCACTAAGCCAAATGTATTAATAAAAAATCAAATAATCATCATAGATTTCCATAATTATGGCAATTGTTTGGTAAATGAAAAGATTTAATCAGGCTTTGTAAATATATTTATCAATTAAAATCTAATTTTATTTAAGCTCCTGTTAATTAAATTTTATTTATTTACTGTAATTAATTATTTTTATGAACAAAATGGACTACATTTTATAATTATGTGTAATGTATTTTAGGTAACTAAAATAATTGAAAGGCTTCCAAAAGAAATAAGTGTGCAAACAAAATCCTTACAAAATGGTATGTTTTTTTCTTAATTTTTATTAATAGTTAAATATTAGATAATTTAACTGAATTTTTTGTTAAACATATCAAAGTTGATATTTGATTAATCATGTGGATAAAAGAATATAAATTGATCAGATGCCAAGAAACATTTTTTCTGCAAAGGGATCTGTATATCTCAGAGAATCTAGATTTGAATCTGAGTCAGAAAATTTTCATGGAGTTCTGATCCAGATATTTAATGTGCCATTCTTAATCACACAGCTAATTTTATTTCACAATAGACCTACCCATAATCAATGTGTTATACTGTATTTTTTTTAACAAAAGAAAACGACTATACACAAAGTGTTTAGATGGCAGAAGTGGGGAGATAAGGAGGAGGGTGAGGAGATAGAAAGAAGAGAAAGGAAGGATTCCTCTGAGCAGTGTACATAAGGTTACAACTCCCTCTATGATTAATGTTAGTATTCCATAAAATAAGCATAAAAACTGGGATACTGTATTAAGAGATGTTTATCTTAGAGCTCCAAATGAGATATTTGTCTATTCTGATAATTGAGGAAAAAATAACAATTGATACTAAATGACTAGTTAAATCTTGGTTTTTGAAGAAATTGGTTTGTGAGCATAATTTCAAACTCATAATTGCACCAGGTGCCATACAATAACTCAGTTGCCACAAAGGTACTTGGCAGCACCCAACAACATACAGTAGAGTGTCGTTTATCCGAAAGTCGGTTATCTGAAATGTCAGTTGTCCGAAAGAATTCCAGTTGGCAAATTTAAATTTTCGCTAGAGCTGTGGCACTGCAATCTTTGGCTATGTCTTGGGCTACTCCAATATTTTTTATGTTTGTGTATGTGTTTTAGCTGGCAGCACTGGCACTTTTGTGTGGTGTTTTTCTGAGGACTGTGTGTCATGCTGAATCGAACGTTTTTGATACTAGATTAACTTCTAAAGTATAATTTTTTTTGTTCTTATATTTTTCAATATATTTATTTTGTTTGTAAAAAATAAAGAAATAATTTTTAACGATACAATAGCCATGATGATTATTTTAAAAAGTTTACATTAGGCTTAACATTGATGAAAATTCAACACGAAGCGACATGCAACGGAGAAAAATTTCAACATGGGATAGGTTAATATATTTTTTCGTACATAATCGGTTATCTGAAAAATAAGTTATCCAAACAACCTCAAGTTAGTTTTGGTCCAGTTTATAAGCCATTATCAGGAATTCTTTAATAACAAATTTTAGAATATTTGATCATTTACTACATTTTTGTATTTTTGAACATTTTTTTTAACATCATGTTTTATCTTTTGAAACAATAAATTGCCAAATGTTCTAGAATTCATTATTAAAGAACTCGTGACAATGGTCTATAAACTATGCAAAAATGTTTGAATTTGAAATTGTCACTGTTTAAAATGAGGGTTTACTCTTATAAGAAAGAATGAATTAAAATCTCAACAGAATTTCAAGATGATTTTTAATAATTTAATGGAATTAGTCCTTTGTTTTCCAGGAATGCAGCTTCTGTAGAAAGAATATTTTCATTTATGAATTTCCTGTGGCCAAAAAAAAGTCAAGATTAAATATTGCAACCACGAAAGCAATGCTAATTATAAATTAAAATTGCAACTTACAATGCAATAAGTTTTCTGATAAAATTGTGAGTGATCATAATTTATTAAGCAAAAACAACTCCTCTGAAAAATATGCTGTTTGACCCTAGAAAACCTCCTATGTCAGCCTAATTAAATTTGGTACCTAACTATTAAATGTCATATTGCATTGTAATAAAAATAAGTTTTTGTTATTAAATTCTTGAAAATAAAAGCTTTTAGAGAAATTTATGTATTTTTTTACGCAACCAAATCAACATAATAATTTACAAGCAAGTTGCTAATAATGTTCATCTATATTGACAGAATTTTAATAAGTAGGTCTTTCTTTATCAGCTGCATCTTCCCCATCTTGTTTTAACATCAAGAAATTATGATCATCTTAGGCTATAGTCATATGTAGATGTTGAGTAAGAAAGGGGAAGTAATTTTTCAGTGCCATGTGTGAGAGTTGTGGCAGGTTGGCTCAGTTCTGCTTGCTGAAAATATTTAAAATGTAATCATTTCTACCACAACTGATTTTACAATTCAAGACTTTGCTAATAAATCTTATTTTTTCTAAGGTCTTTAAGATTTTAAATAAGATCTTAACATTTTTTTTCTAATGAAATCTTATTTTTGGCATTTTTAACATATTTTAACAAACCATTTTCTTTTATTTAAATATGATGCCAAGTTTCAGTCAATATCAACACCTTATCTGAATAAAAATTCAAATACATATCTAAAGGACTTTAAAAAGTACATACTAAGTTATATTACTTTAATTATGATTATTGGTTAAATACTATTAATATTCAGATTGTATAGAAATTACAGTAGATTTTTGCTTATTGTAATCACTAATAACATTAAATATAATAAATAAATATGAAAACATTTAATGGAAAGTTTAGTTTTATTGACTTTGGCATTAAAAGAATATGTTAAAACAATTTATAAGATGTATAATTTTAAAGATTTATTAACTGTAATTATTATTATTATTACTAATTAATATATAATTTATCCAGTATTGTTTCTCTGCTACCAACTTTAACAACAGCTAGCATTATGCCAGTAAACTAAATTATTGTACTGTGAGCAAATTACAATGTTTAACATTTAAGACAGGGGTGTCCAACCCGCGGGCCGCATGCGGCCCAAGGCAAGTTCCAATGTGGCCCAATAAACGTGTAAACAAAACCGACAAATTTTTAAATTATTTATTTATTTCTACAGCATAAACCTCAAAAAAGAAGTTTCACAAAGCCGTAAACCTTTATACATGTTTTATTTTTTAATAGAAAGGAAGTATTTTCAAATATTTGTAATGTGTGAATGAGGAAGGAATACTAAATAAACCTGGAGTCGTGACTCAAAGGACTATAGCCCAAAATTCGGGGAAAGGAGAGAAAGGCTAAAAAAAAAGAAGTGAGAAAGGTTGGAAAATTAAGGATCAATATTTGCATAACAGAAGGTCTATTTAACCTTTCTCACTTCTTTATATTTTGACCTTTCTCTCCTTTCCCCGAATTTGGGTCTATAATCCTCTGAATCCCAACTCTAGCTTTATTTAATATTACTTTCAGCGTTGCAAGATTTGTCTACTTTTCGCCAAATTTAGGTACCCTTTTTTTAGTTTGGCGTAAAAAAATATCATTTGGCGCATTGGCTATATTTTGGGCTACATATTATTTATAAATATATTAGTTGAATAAAAATGCACTTTAAAATGGTGTTTCGTTATTTTTATTAATTAAAGACCCAAATAAAACAAATATTTGTGTTTTTCAAATAAATTTTTGTTTGACTTCTTTATAATAAATAAAATTATCTATTTCTAAGTAGAAATTAAAAGTGTCTGTAGAAGTAATTTTTTAAAATATCCTTTTTCGTGATAAAGTTTTAATATTTATTACTATTTTGTCATTCTATCCTACTGATGTTTAGATCTAACATTAAGCAGGCAAACACGAACAGTAACAAAAAAGAACTTTATTAGAAAAGGTTAGAACTGTCACAGACATCCTCGGGCAACACCCGGACAAAATCCAACGAACTTTCGCGCCTTTTCTTTTTTGACGTTGCCAGCCACTCTTGTTGGCAAGTGTTGCCAGACAGAGTTCGTGATCTTGGCAAGTGTTGCCAGACAGTGTTCAGGATCTCTGGCGCTGGCGGCCACACTATAATCTAGACATGTAAATCCTTAAATATATTTGTATATTTAAAAATTGGGTCACAATATATTTGTGGCCCAGAACTCCATGACTTCTTCCAATGTGGCCAGAGAAACCAAAAGGTTGGACACCCCTGATTTAAGGCATTGGTTAAGACTGATGATTGTTGTAAGAACATCCAGCTGGTCACATAGTCAGTACTGCTGCTCTGAATGACAGCATGATTAAAAGTATGGTGCTTTTGCTAACGCCATAAATGTGTTAAAATCAAGATGCCCTACCTCACTCATTTTTGATTGTTTGAATCTGTCTTCTTTGTTGTCTCAACCTATTCCTACTAAGCCTTCTAGGAATTATTATATAATAACAATAACTGATAATAATTGCATATTATTAGTCATATGTTGAGGCTAATAGCATGATGATAGAATTAAAAATATTAGAATTCTAAGTTTTCTATAAAAATTCTAAGTTTTGAATATACTTATTTATCAAAAGATGATAATGATGATAACTGAATCTTGACTATAAGTGAGGTTCTTTATAATGTATTTTAACTTGTATGTTTTGGGAGTGCTAATTTTTATGATAACCAATGGCTAACATTATTTGTGATTACAATAAGCAAAGACTACTGTACATAACTAGATTAATTGGTCAATGTTATCTTGTATTTCTTTTTGTATTTCATTTGTTATAAATGTTGTTGGACAAAGTTTGTTGTCCCTTGTAACAAGGTTTGCCTTTTTAACAAACTATATTGAATAAATATTTGAAATAATTTCATGCTAGTTAATTGATATCATTGGACAATTATATGTCTCATTAACATTTAAATTTAATAAATACATTATTTGTTAAATAAAATTTAAGTATTTATAATAATTTTTGATAATTTTGTTTTTATTTATTTTATTTTTTCAGAAATAAAATCTGGTTTAAGTAAAGCAGCTAAAGAACTTAATGATTCTGCAACTAAACTTATGAGTGATATATTTCCAAAAACTGAAGTAAATATACTTATTAATATTTGTTAGTTGCAAGTTATTTTAGACTTAAAAATATTTATTGAATACATTAAGTATGACTTATATTTTAATCTGAAATGATAAAAGACTTATAATACTAAAAATTAATAATAAATGATTAATTTAAATTTTTATTGTATTATTTCTAAATTATCAAAATTACTTTTCAAAATGTTTATTGTAAAATATGCTTTCTTGGCAATTGTTTATTGTGTAACTGATCATGTGTCAAACACAAGTAAAGGAAAATGATTTTAAATGGTTTCATTAATTAAATTGTATCTAATAGGAAATGCTTTTTGAATTCTTTAAAATTACTTTTCAGTCATAAATCTTTCTAATAATTTAAAAAAAAAAAAACTTGAAATTTTTATTTTATTGAATTTTAAACTTTCTGAGAATTTTCATTATATTTAATTGCCATAATTTTTTGATTAGTTTTTTTAAAATTATAATATATATCAACATTTCGAAGCCCGATGTATTGATACAAAGCCAAACGATACATTAATAATTGGGCTATTGATATGCTATAATTAATAATTTGACTAAGTAATTTGGTACTAGAAGTAGATATTATGCACTATCTTTTATCTAAATTAATAATTATAATAATTTAATAATTTTATTAAATAATTTAGAACAATCTGGAAGAAAAGAACTAGTCTGGAGTGAGACTTGAACCTAGTTGTAACTTTAACTTTCACTTACTGTGCAGTGTGCTTTCAAGTTATGCCATCCTGCTCCGGGCTGGTTTGTTTCTTCCAGATTTTTTAAAAATAATTTAATAAAATTATTAAATTATTATAATTATTAATTTAGATAAGAGATAGCATCTAATGTCTACCTCTAGTACCAAATTACTTAGTGAAATTATTAATTATAGCATATTAATAGCTCGATTATTAATGGCAATCATTTGGCTTTGTAAAATTATAATATTTAGTATGAGAATTAATATAAAGCAATAAAAATAACAATAAATTTATACAAAATTATAATTTAAACAAATGTATTGTAATACATATAAATTTTGTTTTAACCCCTTCTGGGCTCTTCTTCAGATATAGCTGGATCGAACATCAAACAAAAAAATTTGAATAAATCCGAACGCTGCTGAGTTTGAGTCACACGGTTCGTTCATTTATTTCGTCACGTGATATGTTTGAAAATGTTCAAAGATAACGATAAATGTCCATATTCAAGAGAAAGATATCATTAGAATATTTAAAAAACGTGCCATTGAGATACACAATTATCCAATAATGTTCTCACATGTTCCCTAGTACCTTTTATTTTATTTTATTTTTTAACACTTAATAAACAGTATACCGTTGTTACTCCGTATGTAGTGCGTTTTGCCATGCCATGGAAAGGCCGATTTCGTCTCTTGAATTAATACACGTGGATGTGTCGTATGCCTTAAAAATTTCCATCTCTTCCAACCACTTTAGGTGACGAATATGGGGTGTGGTGACAATTACACGCGCTCTATTGAAGTCCGCCACAATTTCAGGATCCGTGGGGTAGTTGGAGAGTGAGGTGGTGTGTCTGTTGCGTTGTATATCCGAGATATGCTCTTTTATCCTAACCCCTAACGAACGTTTAGTCGATCCTACATATACTAGATCCCTGTTAAACCGGTTATCTTTTAGCGGGATTGTGTAGACGCCTGATAGTTTCTCCACCCTGGATCGGTCCTTTTCGTTGCGCAGGATATCGAACAAGGTGCTGCATCTTCTGTATGTCAGGGTAACTTTTCGTTCTTTTGCGATGGTGTTGTATAAAGACCTCAATAAAGGGTTGAACCTGATAGGTATCCTTTCATTTTCCATCATCTTGCTAGTATTTTGTGTGGTCGTTGTAGTGTTGGAAGAAGCCTATACTAGCAAGATGATGGAAAATGAAAGGATACTGTACTTAAAATTTAATTAATGTTGTAGCTGATAAATACCTGATGTGGTACAGTATCATTTGAAACACATGTTTATAGGAAACCTGGATATCACTCATTTTATATTCTGGCATCAGTATATGTTCTGTTGGTGGTGTATAAAGGTATGAAATATTATTAAATTTTTATGACTGCTTCTGTAGTTTGCTTCAGAGTCTTTATCTTGCCTACCTCAAGGGAACTAATGGAAAGAAACACGTAACACATAAATTTTGTTGTTTCATTATTGTTAAATTCTATTATGTAAGAATCTTTTCTTTTTATTACTTAATATATGAATTTATCATTTGAATGATTCTTCACATTGGATATTTCCTGTTTTGTTTGTTGAACTGTCACATGTATGAGTTTATTTTTATAAGTATGAAATTATTATAGATATTATTATATAATGAGCTATACTCTAATGAGTATAGCTCATTTGAACTATTAAGCTATTGACATTATATAATGATTTTTATTGTACTTTTCACATCTTTACATAAGAATATAATATGTGTAATTGATATTCTTGTTAAAGTTCATAATAAAAATTTAGTACAGTGGGTGATCAATTAACGAACAAATCAGATAATGAACACTTTCGCAAAAGATTTATATGTTCGGTCAACGAACACCTCACAAAACAAATGCAAGAAGAAGCAACATAAAATAATGAATACTGATTGATCTTCCCTTGTCTTCAGGCAACAAATTGAAACTTTTTGGAGCACAGGAGACGTCGACATTGACACTCAACCTGGTATATACTGATTGGATAGTATTCCTCCAAAGTTTTAAACTCTCCCTTGTAATTCCAGTTATTTTTCTGACAAACAATTCTTTTATATATATTATATATATTCTTTTACTTGTTAAGTTTGCATCAGTTTTTATTTTCGAAAGGTGAGAGTATAACAGCAAGGAGTGGGCAGAAGATGACTGATGTTACTGGGCAGTATGGCTTGAACAGGTCTACAGTAGGCTGTAGTTCACTCTTAAGAAAGTTACAGTATAATCAAGAAGACTCAAGTAGCTAAAAGAATAACAAAAATCACATCTGAGAAATAAAGAACATTGAAGAGTTTATAATGGAACCTGAAATTGATCTGATGGCAGAAGAACGCTTGAATGAAGAACACCAAGAAACTCGGCAAGATATGTTTTCTTCTGAAAAAGAGGATTAATGTCTATATCTGCTATTAAACATCTTTTGAAGAAGTGAGAGGATGTCAGAACAACAGTCTTAGAATGACATCCAAACCAGGTTGGGGTTAATAGGCTTGAGGATATCTACAATTACAATGCTATTAATTACTTCTGAAAAATCCTGAAGAAGAGAGAAAAGCAATGAAATTAGACAGATTCTTTAACCCTCACAAACAGAAAAAAATGACTAATAAAAATGCAAGACTGTGTATACAGTAATACCTTGACTTATGCTACCCCGACTTACGTGAACCCGGAGTTACGCGATTTTCAAATCTCATCGATTTGTCTTTTGTTTGAGCGCCAAGCAACTCTCGATTACTCACCCCCCCCCACGCTATTGTTCAGCTTACATGTTCAGATGTGTCGTGCGGAATCGACACATAGCTACAATTTATTTTGTATTATTTATTTCTGTGTTTGTTATATCTATGGAGACTTGAGAGACTCTGTGATGATTTCTTGTAACCGTGAACGAATCAAAAGATGAGATAAGATTAACAAGAACATTTATTAGCTTACATACATCCGACTTGGATTTTACACAAATTGCGAAATTATACCCCGACTTATGTGAATTCGACTTATGCGGTTATCACTCGGCCCCGCCTATCGCGTAANTCTTGTAACCGTGAACGAATCAAAAGATGAGATAAGATTAACAAGAACATTTATTAGCTTACATACATCCGACTTGGATTTTACACAAATTGCGAAATTATACCCCGACTTATGTGAATTCGACTTATGCGGTTATCACTCGGCCCCGCCTATCGCGTAAGTTCGGAGTATCATTGTATATGTATTTTTACTATTACATATAAATAAACGTAGTAAGAAAGTGTATATATTTTATTTTTTGGGGTCTTCAGAATGAATTAATCAAATTTCCATAAAAACCAATTGTAAATCAATAATTGGTTAACAAACAGTTCAGATAGCGAACAAAGTCTTGGAACAGATTATGTTTATTAACTGATCACCCACTGTATACTGTTACAGATAAAAATCTTAAAACTATAAAATATGATTAATTATATAATTTTAAATACAAATAAATAAAATAAATTAATAAACTTCTTTAATTATTATTTTTTATTAATAATATAGACTTAAAAAATAATAATTAAAGAAGTTTATTAATTAAATATATATTTTGTTTATACATATAAATCTTTCTTTTTATTCATTTTTTGTTTAGGAAACATTATACAATGCTAGTATACGTACGAAGCAGTACATGCAAAGTGGAAAGAAATATGATAGTTATGGGCAAGTAAAATTAATCATAGAGAGCAATGTGATCTCTGTGTTATTACTGCTGAAATCTAATTATTAAATCAAGGTATTTTATAAAATTTTTACTTTATTTTATAATTTTTTAGAAAGTATACAACTCTTGGTATTTGTATTATAATGACAGTCATTGTCTCTTTCCTTGTTATTGGATTGTTTTTTGGGATCTGTGGTTATCAAAATAGTAGACCACCAACAAAAAGAACAACTATGTCAAATGTAGGTGGACATTTTTTGTTGATGTAAGTATGAGAAGAATATTAATATTTAAAAAATTACTTAATTTCTTGATCTAAATTTGCAGTCTGTACATAGAGATTGTAATTTTTCTGAATTACTTTATATGTGTGTACATGCATACATACACACATATAGCAAATATACGTGAGGTATGTTTAGAAACTATAAAGTCACCTGGTTTTTATTTTTATTTTATAAAATGTTCAGAAAATTTCAACATAGTACAGTATTAGTAAGGATTGACATTAAACATATTTTACTCAAAATGTCATGAGAATTTAACAATCATAGCATTCATTTTTAACAATAGGGGCAAATAGAATAAAATGGGATAGATAGGTAAAATAGAAAGCTCTTATGTTTGTCAGTATGAAGTGTCATCTACTGGTAGCTATACCAGTGCATACAGCACTTACATAATAGTTTGGTGAGAGGTTTGGACCTTGTCGAGAACCTCTCACCAAAATTTGCTCAAGAATTTTTGTAATTGAACAGAAAGAACAAAACCAAGAGAGACAGAAAATATTTTCATTTAATAAATAAAATACTTTCTTACTGGAACTACTTGGTTTTTATTTTCATTTCAGTTTACACAACAGAGGAACTGATATAAACAAGATCAACCATCTTTGTTTGGATTGGAATTTGGAGTTGAAATAAACATTGTTGTTAAACTGTTCTACAGCCCAAATTGGTCTCAATTTATTCCTGCAAACAAGTACAAGACCAATTACAAAGAGTGGATGGGAAAACAAGAGCAATTAGAAAGTGTGGACAGGGAACCAAGACCAATTGGGATGGTTGGTTGAAGGACCAAACAGTTAAAAATTTATGTCTGAAGGACACAAGGTTCTTGTTCTTTGTTTCTTTTTGATAGGTATCCTTTGATAACTTCTTCTTGTTCATTCTTACTTTGCAGATACTTGCGAAATCTGTGCCATCTCCTCTTCAGGTTGTACTGTACCTGTGGGAAGTGCCAACATCAACAGGTCTCTCTCTCTCTCTCTCTCTCTCTCTCAGAAACATTAGGACTTCTCCCCAATCCAGCTCATCATTGTATGATCAGTCTGCACATTATTAAAATCATCAGCAGTTAGAAGTTGAACTGTCTTGGACTTTTCCTGTGCTCTCAGATATGACTATGGACTGTAACTCAGTGTTGGATGTTGTTATCCATCTACTGGAGCTCCAGTGAATGGAGACAATTCATTGAAAAAATAGATTCTACCCATCCTTCCTCGCCAACCAGCCACTGTAATAAACTCTCAAAAAAGAACAAATTATTTTCTACAAGGATTGTAATTCACTAGTTATACTTGTGTGCATTTATTAGAGTAGGTTCTTATAATTCTTCTTGGTCTTCCAAGACCAAGAAAAATTGTAAGAACCCACTCTCTAATAAATGAATTCCAATAGAAAGAGTTCTTGTCTCAGTACCCACACCACCCCACATATGACATTTCACCCTCTTGCCATCATCCTTGAGCAATCAAACCTCTTTCTCTAAGAGAATGTTGGTTTTGTCTCCATATATGATTGGGGCCATGAACAATTTTACAAGGGTTATCACATAATCTAAACTTCCATGGAGAATCGATTCATGTGCACACTTACATGAATGATAAGTGAAGTTTGATTTTTCTTGTTTTACTTTAAAAAATTTTAGAGACTTGAAACTAGTGGATAGGAAAGAACTGTGCACTGTAAATTTTGGGAAAATATTCCTGAGGATTCTAGACTATACTATTGACATAACTGTAGAAATGATTTGGCCATTCAGTTCATACTTTAATTTATAGTGAGGGTAAAATGGATGAGAATTTTTGATTATATTCTGTTTTATCCTCCTAATGTTTTGCTATCTCATTTTATCCAGCTGGATGCACTCTTAAATAACTTATTGATTATTCTGTTAAGATCCAGTTAATGGTAATAGCACTGCTATTCTAATTATTGGCCTAGATTAGTTATCCTAGATAACTTCTTTTCTTATCTTTCAGAAACATGTCATCTAATTATCAACAAGAAACTAACTGGCAGTCATGGAATGAACAGAACCTTGAACAGAACTTGAAGTTCTGTCAGCAAACTTCAGGTTTCTAAAGGCAAATAAACAGTATGGCATGCCTAAACTTAAATTGACTTTGATAGGCAATTTAACAGAAAAAAAATAAGATAGCTCAAGGAAATTTCAAACCTCTGGGGAACAGGAACAAGACTTCTCCTTCTGATATGGAACTGGAACTAACTGAGCACATAAAACACTTGGAAGCAAGGTTGTTTGGTCTCAGGCTAAGAGCAGTCTGCAGTATTGCATATCAGTTTGTAGTAAAAAGCAATTTGGAATATCACTTCAGCAATAATAAACAGTTAGGTAGAAAGAATTTGGCTTTATACATTCTTGAAAATATATAAACTTTCTGTCAGTTACCAGAAGCCATGTCTGCTGCTGAAAGAAGTGATTGTTTGTATAGCCTACACCATAATATTAATTGTGTTATTTGAAGCCTGATTGATAGCATGCCTGTTCTGACTATTATTAAAGCTAAAGATGATGTCTCAAAATATTAACTAATATAGTATACTGTATATTAATGTGTTCATATTCTGTTTTCACAAATAATTTGTCTAAATTCTTTTTGCTTATTAACTTTTCTTTAAGCATTTCCTCAAAACCAGGTTCTATAAACATATACATCATATTGTATACATCTGTCATACAAGAATAAATTTCAGTAAACCGAACTTTATAGCTCTTATTATTATTTTTTTTAATATTTATTACTATTTATCACTAATACATTATCTCAACATATATTCCACCTACATTATTAACATTCTTCTGATTTGTATAAACTCATCATGCATGCAACACTTAGAAAAGAAGAGAGAGAATATATTTGGAGATATAAAATAATACTTATTATTATATAGTAATACTGATATTTTCTTGAAATAAATTTTACAGCTGCTGTATGGAGTAACAAACACACCCAAACAACCTTTGGTGTGTTTGAAATAAGTTTTTGGCAAGTCCAGAAAGTTTAAATTAAAGTTTTCCTTATTGAACAATAAATTCCTTATATAAATTCTTATTTTTTGAGTTTAACTACATAAATTTGATTATAATATATTTTTGAAGTTTCAACTATCAATAATTTGAGTGTGATGTCATGTTTCTATTATATTATGTGAATCTTATGAAAATCATATTTTGAGAAAATATCTTGTTATTGACTAAAGCTTTATTATTTTCATTTATAAATTTAAGAATACAATAAAACAACATAAGATAAAGATTAATAAGCAAATTAATATAAAGGCAAATGTTTAAATGCAAAAAAACATCAGTACAGCAAGTTCTTAATGTCATTAATAGGTTCTTGGAATCTACGCAACATTCAAACATTAAGTAAAACAATCTATAACAAAGCCAATATTATCATAGACCAGGAATGGCAAACACGGTTTGCATGTCCAAAGTGGCATGTAAGGAGAAATTATCTGGCACATGATAAAGTGCTTTCAGTTTTTATCACCTGATCATCCTTTTTTTCAATCAGATTTTTTACATTTATTCTAATTGAAGCAAATTCGTTTAATTTCTTTAAATATCATTATTCAAAGACTAAAACTTTGATATGCATAAACATCTTTACAGCTAAGTATGCTTACTATATGGCACGTGAGCTCAAAAGTTTGCCATCCCTGTCATAGACTAAATGATATAAACAAGATATAATTCAATTAATATTATTGTAATTAGATCAGGTTTGCAATCTCCCATATTTATTTCCTACTTCAGAATCAATATTAGTGTTTATATAGAAAATTCAGCAATGATAATGATAAATGATTACAAAATGTACTTGTATCTTTCTTCAATGATGTTAAGTAAGGTTTTGCTGTATTTTGAAAGCATTGCAACATTTAAAATACTTTGAATATTTTAAATATTCTGGAGTATTTGAAGTAATCAGTATTTCAAATACTTCTCAGTATTCCAATATCAATTCAAATGCCAAATACTTGTATTGAGTATTTGAATAAGAATTGAAATAATTTTATTTGAAATATTATTCAGCTTTGATTATGTAAGCAAGCTGACAGGGTATGTGTCTACCTTCCGTGTAAGAATGATCTAGGGCAGGGGTGTCCAACCTTTTCGTTACTCTGGGCCGCATTGGAAGAAGTCAAGGAGTTTTGGGCCACAAGTTTATATAATATGTACTTGTGGCCCAATATACAAGTATATTTAAGGACTAATATGTCTAGATTATAATAATAAGTATTAAAACTTTATCACAAAAAAGGATATTTTAGAAAACTACTTTTACAGACACTTTCAATTTTTACTTAGAAATAGATAAATTCATTTATTATAAATATAAAGAAACAAACGAAAATTTATTTGAAAAAACACAAATATTTGTTTTATTTGGGTCTCTAATTAATAAAAATCGACGAAACACTTTTTTAAAGTGCATTTTTATTCAACTAATATATTTATGAATAATATGTAGCCCAAAAAGTAGGCAAAGCGCCAAATGATATTTTTTACATCAAACTGAAAAAAGTAGCCACATTCGGTGAAATGTAGCCAAATCCTGCGACTCTGGAAGGAATAATAAATAATGCTGGAGTTGTGACTCAAAGGATTATAGACCCAAATGCGAGGAAAAAAAGAGAAAGGACAAAACATAAAGAAGTGAGAAAGGTGGAAAATTAAGAATCAATGCTACTATGAAAGACCGAAATTAGAGAATGTCGATATTCTCCGGTGAATGTCCAAATAATACGAAATACAAAATACGTCGGTGAAAGTCCGAATATTTGGTCATATTATTTTACATTCGAACAATCGCCGGTGTATGTCGACAAGCACAGATAAGCTTTGGTGGAGGTCGAAATGACACCCGAGGAGCCGATGTCGACAGAGAGGCAACAGTCTGTCGCCAAATCCTTTGTGGGTGGCCGGAGGTAGGACAAGGTCTTTTGATCCCGTGAGGTTGGGATCGGTTTGTCAGGTCGAGTGGTGTAAGATGAGAGGGGTCGTCGGTAAGGCGTCGGCGATATCCGAATAAAAGACACGATTAACAGATCAGTTCGTAATTTGTAAAGAAAAGTTACTTTCTATAGATGAGATTTCTTCTCAGGAAATATCGCTGAGAGAAGCAGCTGCAGCTAATTCGAAAAGTGGAAGGCAAGGCTATACACGCTGTCATTGCAAAAAAAGTGTTCCACGAATAAATGCAGTTGTAATAGCAAGGGATTCTTGTGCAATTGAAAGTGCCATAACAGTTTAAATTGTTGCAATAAATAAGATTTATAACGATAATCACATAGTTTATGTGTAAGTTTATTATTGCATTATTTTCTTTAATGATTAAGAATGTTCTGTTCGTTTTACGTTCAACAGTTTATTTACATGTGCTCTTACTTAAGCTTTCTCCTATTTTGACATATTAAAATGTTGCATTTTTGTCTTAACGTAATAAAAATATTTTTATTCAACATTTACCATCAGTGCATGCTGAATGTTTACATTTGCCGGTGTAAGTGAGAAATAATGATATTTAGCAAATATTTCGTACATACACGAAACGACTGTGTGAATGCTGACATTCGCCAGATATCGGTTATTCACAGTAAAAACAATATTTGCATAACAGAAGATCTATTTAACCGTTCTCACTACTTTTTATCTTTGGGCCTTTCTCGCCTTTCTCCAAATTTGGGTCTCTAATCCTTTGAGTCACAACTGCAATTTTATTTATTAATTTTTTCTCATTCACACATCTCCAAGTATTTGAAAATATTTCGTTTCCACTCAATAATAAAATATGAATAAAGGTTTACGACTTTGTGAAACTTCTTTTTTGAGTTTAGGAAATAAATAAATAATAAAAAAATTAAAACATTTTTCGGTTTTGTTTACACGTTTATTGGGCCGTGGGTTGGACACCCCTGATCTATGGTCTTTCTTGCAAGTGGGTGGTGGTCATGAGACACAAATAATATGTGCCTTACACAAAATCCAATTATTATAACAAAAGGATGCTTACAGATTTTGCAGACAGATTCCTTTGAGCAATGAGTTTAAAAGTCCATTAGATAGTTCAAGTAGTTCATTATCCAGTTGGAGTTGATGCTCTTTCCTAGGAATCAATGAAGATTGATGGTGACAACATCCCCAGATGATATCAGGAGGATGTTAGGCAAGTGATCAACTGAATTCCAGAGTTGACAGGATGGAGAGGATGGATTAATGATGTCAATTTCACTTAGACACACTCAGTGACACAAGGTCCAGGGAGTTTGACACAATCCAGAGGATCTGCATTGCACACATTTAGCGCATTGACACACGGTGTGTGTTGACTGACTGAGAGTCTTGACTAACTGAGTGCATTGTGTCCTGATGGTTGGGGATTATGTATTCCAATCAGTTGCTATCCCTCCTCTGCATTTTCAAAGTGGTCATTCCTAAGTGTAACAGGACCCCAACTTGGATAACAGAAGAGGTCAACTCGGAGTTGATCTCCCAACCAGAGATGGTTGATCATAGGACTACATTCCAACTAAAATTTATGACTTTGCATCACATTTTAATATAAATAAAAAGGTGTCTGACTACAAACAATTTTTTCTTGCCTTTTTAAACAAATAATTTTTTTCTTCCTAATCAACTAAAGTTTTTCAAATTTCATGACAGTTTTGGATTTGTCTGAGACCTCATAAGTACATTTAATTCTCAACAATATTGACAATGTGAAAAATATTTTACAAATTAATAAAAGATTAACAAGGGAATTATAGATTAGAAAATTGACTAGATAGCATATTGTAAATTTTATAAAATTTTATTTTAACTATAATAATTACAAGAAAAATTTTTATATAAAAATTTTTTTTCATAATTTATTTTATATATTTAGTTCTGTTACCTGGATGTTCATCTTTTCTGGTATCTTCATGCTGTTCACAATAATTCTGTTTTTATTTGGTAGTATCACAGATACATATGTCTGTCAGCCATTATATGATAAAAAATTGATTATGGTGAATAAGGTAAGACATTATTTTTGAAAAATGTATATATAAAATAAAAAGATGTTAATAAAAAATATTATGGGCTTTTTAACTATTTCATTTTATTCTTTAGATGTTTAATGTGTAAGGATTAAAATAAAAGAAATGCATTAAATTTTCAATTATTTTTAATTTAAAAATTTATAAATAACTCTTTGTTTTAAAGAAATTTTATTACACTTCCTTAACCAAAGAAGTATTTAAAACTTTAAATTAATAATTATAAAAAGTGAAAAGAAGATGACTCAGTCCAGTTCTTTTACATTACTTTTATTTTGAGAATTCTATATTATTCTAGAGCAGGGTTTCTAACGTCTTTTGCTTGTTGACTCCTTTCTAAAACTAGATTTAATTAGTCAACCTCTTTCTATAAAGATACTATTTGTAATTTATTCTTATTTTGTATGTGGAAACCAGTATTTAAATACCAGTTTTGAAAACTGATGAGTAATACTGTTACTGAAACATCATTACTATTTTTTCTAAATTACTCTTAAAGACATTTTCTTTTTACCATTTCATATTATTTTTATTAGCCTATTACCTATTATTATTTTTATCCAATCAATATTATTATTAACCTATTAAAACTGTTATGAGATATTAAAATAATAGGAGTTAGAAAGTTATATAGAAAATATAGGAAAAATTGAATTAAGAAGTTTCATGCGGAAAGCAGTGCACTCCAACACTGTGATGACTTCTAGACTGTTCTTAAATGTATATAAATAGTACTGCTGTTTAGAGTGAGTTATTTATAATTCTTTGCATGGAAATATTTCACTAATTTATTATTTCAATATTTTTCACTAGTTAGTGTAAAGTTTAAAATAAGTTGTATTTTGTACTTGATGTATCCTATAAATATTATAGGATTTGTGGGCTTTATGGGTTTTGTGAGGCTTGTATGAAAAGAAGGACAGCAAATGTTGTCAGAGGGGTGATGAGAAAATATGTNTTTATTAAATAACATATAAATCTTTCTTTTTATTCATTTTTTGTTTAGGAAACATTATACAATGCTAGTATACGTACGAAGCAGTACATGCAAAGTGGAAAGAAATATGATAGTTATGGGCAAGTAAAATTAATCATAGAGAGCAATGTGATCTCTGTGTTATTACTGCTGAAATCTAATTATTAAATCAAGGTATTTTATAAAATTTTTACTTTATTTTATAATTTTTTAGAAAGTATACAACTCTTGGTATTTGTATTATAATGACAGTCATTGTCTCTTTCCTTGTTATTGGATTGTTTTTTGGGATCTGTGGTTATCAAAATAGTAGACCACCAACAAAAAGAACAACTATGTCAAATGTAGGTGGACATTTTTTGTTGATGTAAGTATGAGAAGAATATTAATATTTAAAAAATTACTTAATTTCTTGATCTAAATTTGCAGTCTGTACATAGAGATTGTAATTTTTCTGAATTACTTTATATGTGTGTACATGCATACATACACACATATAGCAAATATACGTGAGGTATGTTTAGAAACTATAAAGTCACCTGGTTTTTATTTTTATTTTATAAAATGTTCAGAAAATTTCAACATAGTACAGTATTAGTAAGGATTGACATTAAACATATTTTACTCAAAATGTCATGAGAATTTAACAATCATAGCATTCATTTTTAACAATAGGGGCAAATAGAATAAAATGGGATAGATAGGTAAAATAGAAAGCTCTTATGTTTGTCAGTATGAAGTGTCATCTACTGGTAGCTATACCAGTGCATACAGCACTTACATAATAGTTTGGTGAGAGGTTTGGACCTTGTCGAGAACCTCTCACCAAAATTTGCTCAAGAATTTTTGTAATTGAACAGAAAGAACAAAACCAAGAGAGACAGAAAATATTTTCATTTAATAAATAAAATACTTTCTTACTGGAACTACTTGGTTTTTATTTTCATTTCAGTTTACACAACAGAGGAACTGATATAAACAAGATCAACCATCTTTGTTTGGATTGGAATTTGGAGTTGAAATAAACATTGTTGTTAAACTGTTCTACAGCCCAAATTGGTCTCAATTTATTCCTGCAAACAAGTACAAGACCAATTACAAAGAGTGGATGGGAAAACAAGAGCAATTAGAAAGTGTGGACAGGGAACCAAGACCAATTGGGATGGTTGGTTGAAGGACCAAACAGTTAAAAATTTATGTCTGAAGGACACAAGGTTCTTGTTCTTTGTTTCTTTTTGATAGGTATCCTTTGATAACTTCTTCTTGTTCATTCTTACTTTGCAGATACTTGCGAAATCTGTGCCATCTCCTCTTCAGGTTGTACTGTACCTGTGGGAAGTGCCAACATCAACAGGTCTCTCTCTCTCTCTCTCTCTCTCAGAAACATTAGGACTTCTCCCCAATCCAGCTCATCATTGTATGATCAGTCTGCACATTATTAAAATCATCAGCAGTTAGAAGTTGAACTGTCTTGGACTTTTCCTGTGCTCTCAGATATGACTATGGACTGTAACTCAGTGTTGGATGTTGTTATCCATCTACTGGAGCTCCAGTGAATGGAGACAATTCATTGAAAAAATAGATTCTACCCATCCTTCCTCGCCAACCAGCCACTGTAATAAACTCTCAAAAAAGAACAAATTATTTTCTACAAGGATTGTAATTCACTAGTTATACTTGTGTGCATTTATTAGAGTAGGTTCTTATAATTCTTCTTGGTCTTCCAAGACCAAGAAAAATTGTAAGAACCCACTCTCTAATAAATGAATTCCAATAGAAAGAGTTCTTGTCTCAGTACCCACACCACCCCACATATGACATTTCACCCTCTTGCCATCATCCTTGAGCAATCAAACCTCTTTCTCTAAGAGAATGTTGGTTTTGTCTCCATATATGATTGGGGCCATGAACAATTTTACAAGGGTTATCACATAATCTAAACTTCCATGGAGAATCGATTCATGTGCACACTTACATGAATGATAAGTGAAGTTTGATTTTTCTTGTTTTACTTTAAAAAATTTTAGAGACTTGAAACTAGTGGATAGGAAAGAACTGTGCACTGTAAATTTTGGGAAAATATTCCTGAGGATTCTAGACTATACTATTGACATAACTGTAGAAATGATTTGGCCATTCAGTTCATACTTTAATTTATAGTGAGGGTAAAATGGATGAGAATTTTTGATTATATTCTGTTTTATCCTCCTAATGTTTTGCTATCTCATTTTATCCAGCTGGATGCACTCTTAAATAACTTATTGATTATTCTGTTAAGATCCAGTTAATGGTAATAGCACTGCTATTCTAATTATTGGCCTAGATTAGTTATCCTAGATAACTTCTTTTCTTATCTTTCAGAAACATGTCATCTAATTATCAACAAGAAACTAACTGGCAGTCATGGAATGAACAGAACCTTGAACAGAACTTGAAGTTCTGTCAGCAAACTTCAGGTTTCTAAAGGCAAATAAACAGTATGGCATGCCTAAACTTAAATTGACTTTGATAGGCAATTTAACAGAAAAAAAATAAGATAGCTCAAGGAAATTTCAAACCTCTGGGGAACAGGAACAAGACTTCTCCTTCTGATATGGAACTGGAACTAACTGAGCACATAAAACACTTGGAAGCAAGGTTGTTTGGTCTCAGGCTAAGAGCAGTCTGCAGTATTGCATATCAGTTTGTAGTAAAAAGCAATTTGGAATATCACTTCAGCAATAATAAACAGTTAGGTAGAAAGAATTTGGCTTTATACATTCTTGAAAGTATATAAACTTTCTGTCAGTTACCAGAAGCCATGTCTGCTGCTGAAAGAAGTGATTGTTTGTATAGCCTACACCATAATATTAATTGTGTTATTTGAAGCCTGATTGATAGCATGCCTGTTCTGACCATTATTAAAGCTAAAGATGATGTCTCAAAATATTAACTAATATAGTATACTGTATATTAATGTGTTCATATTCTGTTTTCACAAATAATTTGTCTAAATTCTTTTTGCTTATTAACTTTTCTTTAAGCATTTCCTCAAAACCAGGTTCTATAAACATATACATCATATTGTATACATCTGTCATACAAGAATAAATTTCAGTAAACCGAACTTTATAGCTCTTATTATTATTTTTTTTAATATTTATTACTATTTATCACTAATACATTATCTCAACATATATTCCACCTACATTATTAACATTCTTCTGATTTGTATAAACTCATCATGCATGCAACACTTAGAAAAGAAGAGAGAGAATATATTTGGAGATATAAAATAATACTTATTATTATATAGTAATACTGATATTTTCTTGAAATAAATTTTACAGCTGCTGTATGGAGTAACAAACACACCCAAACAACCTTTGGTGTGTTTGAAATAAGTTTTTGGCAAGTCCAGAAAGTTTAAATTAAAGTTTTCCTTATTGAACAATAAATTCCTTATATAAATTCTTATTTTTTGAGTTTAACTACATAAATTTGATTATAATATATTTTCGAAGTTTCAACTATCAATAATTTGAGTGTGATGTCATGTTTCTATTATATTATGTGAATCTTATGAAAATCATATTTTGAGAAAATATCTTGTTATTGACTAAAGCTTTATTATTTTCATTTATAAATTTAAGAATACAATAAAACAACATAAGATAAAGATTAATAAGCAAATTAATATAAAGGCAAATGTTTAAATGCAAAAAAACATCAGTACAGCAAGTTCTTAATGTCATTAATAGGTTATTGGAATCTACGCAACATTCAAACATTAAGTAAAACAATCTATAACAAAGCCAATATTATCATAGACCAGGAATGGCAAACACGGTTTGTGTGTCCAAAGTGGCATGTAAGGAGAAATTATCTGGCACATGATAAAGTGCTTTCAGTTTTTATCACCTGATCATCCTTTTTTTCAATCAGATTTTTTTACATTTATTCTAATTGAAGCAAATTTGTTTAATTTCTTTAAATATCATTATTCAAAGACTAAAACTTTGATATGCATAAACATCTTTACAGCTAAGTATGCTTACTATATGGCACGTGAGCTCAAAAGTTTGCCATCCCTGTCATAGACTAAATGATATAAACAAGATATAATTCAATTAATATTATTGTAATTAGATCAGGTTTGCAATCTCCCATATTTATTTCCTACTTCAGAATCAATATTAGTGTTTATATAGAAAATTCAGCAATGATAATGATAAATGATTACAAAATGTACTTGTATCTTTCTTCAATGATGTTAAGTAAGGTTTTGCTGTATTTTGAAAGCATTGCAACATTTAAAATACTTTGAATATTTTAAATATTCTGGAGTATTTGAAGTAATCAGTATTTCAAATACTTCTCAGTATTCCAATATCAATTCAAATGCCAAATACTTGTATTGAGTATTTGAATAAGAATTGAAATAATTTTATTTGAAATATTATTCAGCTTTGATTATGTAAGCAAGCTGACAGGGTATGTGTCTACCTTCCGTGTAAGAATGATCTAGGGCAGGGGTGTCCAACCTTTTCGTTACTCTGGGCCGCATTGGAAGAAGTCAAGGAGTTTTGGGCCACAAGTTTATATAATATGTACTTGTGGCCCAATATACAAGTATATTTAAGGACTAATATGTCTAGATTATAATAATAAGTATTAAAACTTTATCACAAAAAAGGATATTTTAGAAAACTACTTTTACAGATACTTTCAATTTTTACTTAGAAATAGATAAATTCATTTATTATAAATATAAAGAAACAAACGAAAATTTATTTGAAAAAACACAAATATTTGTTTTATTTGGGTCTCTAATTAATAAAAATCGACGAAACACTTTTTTAAAGTGCATTTTTATTCAACTAATATATTTATGAATAATATGTAGCCCAAAAAGTAGGCAAAGCGCCAAATGATATTTTTTACATCAAACTGAAAAAAGTAGCCACATTCGGTGAAATGTAGCCAAATCCTGCGACTCTGGAAGGAATAATAAATAATGCTGGAGTTGTGACTCAAAGGATTATAGACCCAAATGCGAGGAAAAAAAGAGAAAGGACAAAACATAAAGAAGTGAGAAAGGTGGAAAATTAAGAATCAATGCTACTATGAAAGACCGAAATTAGAGAATGTCGATATTCTCCGGTGAATGTCCAAATAATACGAAATACAAAATACGTCGGTGAAAGTCCGAATATTTGATCATATTATTTTACATTCGAACAATCGCCGGTGTATGTCGACAAGCACAGATAAGCTTTGGTGGAGGTCGAAATGACACCCGAGGAGCCGATGTCGACAGAGAGGCAACAGTCTGTCGCCAAATCCTTTGTGGGTGGCCGGAGGTAGGACAAGGTCTTTTGATCCCGTGAGGTTGGGATCGGTTTGTCAGGTCGAGTGGTGTAAGATGAGAGGGGTCGTCGGTAAGGCGTCGGCGATATCCGAATAAAAGACACGATTAACAGATCAGTTCGTAATTTGTAAAGAAAAGTTACTTTCTATAGATGAGATTTCTTCTCAGGAAATATCGCTGAGAGAAGCAGCTGCAGCTAATTCGAAAAGTGGAAGGCAAGGCTATACACGCTGTCATTGCAAAAAAAGTGTTCCACGAATAAATGCAGTTGTAATAGCAAGGGATTCTTGTGCAATTGAAAGTGCCATAACAGTTTAAATTGTTGCAATAAATAAGATTTATAACGATAATCACATAGTTTATGTGTAAGTTTATTATTGCATTATTTTCTTTAATGATTAAGAATGTTCTGTTCGTTTTACGTTCAACAGTTTATTTACATGTGCTCTTACTTAAGCTTTCTCCTATTTTGACATATTAAAATGTTGCATTTTTGTCTTAACGTAATAAAAATATTTTTATTCAACATTCACCATCAGTGCATGCTGAATGTTTACATTTGCCGGTGTAAGTGAGAAATAATGATATTTAGCAAATATTTCGTACATACACGAAACGACTGTGTGAATGCTGACATTCGCCAGATATCGGTTATTCACAGTAAAAACAATATTTGCATAACAGAAGATCTATTTAACCGTTCTCACTACTTTTTATCTTTGGGCCTTTCTCGCCTTTCCCCAAATTTGGGTCTCTAATCCTTTGAGTCACAACTGCAATTTTATTTATTAATTCTTTCTCATTCACACATCTCCAAGTATTTGAAAATATTTCGTTTCCACTCAATAATAAAATATGAATAAAGGTTTACGACTTTGTGAAATTTCTTTTTTGAGTTTAGGAAATAAATAAATAATAAAAAAATTAAAACATTTTTCGGTTTTGTTTACACGTTTATTGGGCCGTGGGTTGGACACCCCTGATCTATGGTCTTTCTTGCAAGTGGGTGGTGGTCATGAGACACAAATAATATGTGCCTTACACAAAATCCAATTATTATAACAAAAGGATGCTTACAGATTTTGCAGACAGATTCCTTTGAGCAATGAGTTTAAAAGTCCATTAGATAGTTCAAGTAGTTCATTATCCAGTTGGAGTTGATGCTCTTTCCTAGGAATCAATGAAGATTGATGGTGACAACATCCCCAGATGATATCAGGAGGATGTTAGGCAAGTGATCAACTGAATTCCAGAGTTGACAGGATGGAGAGGATGGATTAATGATGTCAATTTCACTTAGACACACTCAGTGACACAAGGTCCAGGAAGTTTGACACAATCCAGAGGATCTGCATTGCACACATTTAGCGCATTGACACACGGTGTGTGTTGACTGACTGAGAGTCTTGACTAACTGAGTGCATTGTGTCCTGATGGTTGGGGATTATGTATTCCAATCAGTTGCTATCCCTCCTCTGCATTTTCAAAGTGGTCATTCCTAAGTGTAACAGGACCCCAACTTGGATAACAGAAGAGGTCAACTCGGAGTTGATCTCCCAACCAGAGATGGTTGATCATAGGACTACATTCCAACTAAAATTTATGACTTTGCATCACATTTTAATATAAATAAAAAGGTGTCTGACTACAAACAATTTTTTCTTGCCTTTTTAAACAAATAATTTTTTTCTTCCTAATCAACTAAAGTTTTTCAAATTTCATGACAGTTTTGGATTTGTCTGAGACCTCATAAGTACATTTAATTCTCAACAATATTGACAATGTGAAAAATATTTTACAAATTAATAAAAGATTAACAAGGGAATTATAGATTAGAAAATTGACTAGATAGCATATTGTAAATTTTATAAAATTTTATTTTAACTATAATAATTACAAGAAAAATTTTTATATAAAAATTTTTTTTCATAATTTATTTTATATATTTAGTTCTGTTACCTGGATGTTCATCTTTTCTGGTATCTTCATGCTGTTCACAATAATTCTGTTTTTATTTGGTAGTATCACAGATACATATGTCTGTCAGCCATTATATGATAAAAAATTGATTATGGTGAATAAGGTAAGACATTATTTTTGAAAAATGTATATATAAAATAAAAAGATGTTAATAAAAAATATTATGGGCTTTTTAACTATTTCATTTTATTCTTTAGATGTTTAATGTGTAAGGATTAAAATAAAAGAAATGCATTAAATTTTCAATTATTTTTAATTTAAAAATTTATAAATAACTCTTTGTTTTAAAGAAATTTTATTACACTTCCTTAACCAAAGAAGTATTTAAAACTTTAAATTAATAATTATAAAAAGTGAAAAGAAGATGACTCAGTCCAGTTCTTTTACATTACTTTTATTTTGAGAATTCTATATTATTCTAGAGCAGGGTTTCTAACGTCTTTTGCTTGTTGACTCCTTTCTAAAACTAGATTTAATTAGTCAACCTCTTTCTATAAAGATACTATTTGTAATTTATTCTTATTTTGTATGTGGAAACCAGTATTTAAATACCAGTTTTGAAAACTGATGAGTAATACTGTTACTGAAACATCATTACTATTTTTTCTAAATTACTCTTAAAGACATTTTCTTTTTACCATTTCATATTATTTTTATTAGCCTATTACCTATTATTATTTTTATCCAATCAATATTATTATTAACCTATTAAAACTGTTATGAGATATTAAAATAATAGGAGTTAGAAAGTTATATAGAAAATATAGGAAAAATTGAATTAAGAAGTTTCATGCGGAAAGCAGTGCACTCCAACACTGTGATGACTTCTAGACTGTTCTTAAATGTATATAAATAGTACTGCTGTTTAGAGTGAGTTATTTATAATTCTTTGCATGGAAATATTTCACTAATTTATTATTTCAATATTTTTCACTAGTTAGTGTAAAGTTTAAAATAAGTTGTATTTTGTACTTGATGTATCCTATAAATATTATAGGATTTGTGGGCTTTATGGGTTTTGTGAGGCTTGTATGAAAAGAAGGACAGCAAATGTTGTCAGAGGGGTGATGAGAAAATATGTAAAAAGAATATGTATAATGGAAAACTCTCCACAAAAATCCACTCAGTGCCTTCCACTAAAGAAAAAAACTGCAACTAAAAACCAGCGAAAATAGGTAACTTGAGAATTTTTTTTGATAATTTTCTCATCCTAATTAAAAATAGGAAGAGATAAATAATCAAAAGAGAATTAATAATCATTTTTACCAAATATAAATTAAAATTCAAAATTGTGTGTTTTACTTTAATAAAATTTAAACATATATCAATTATTATTGTGTTTTTTAAATATAATAAAAATACATTTGGTCACCAACCCCCAAATGATCCCTAGTAATCTCTCAGCTCTTTAGATTGATTGGTTTATACGAGGAACAGCTAGATTACTATGGGTCATTTATATTATTTAAATTTTACATGAAAAGACTAAACAAAGAACTATTTGGTGTTTTCTTGGTTTTCTAAACTAAACAGAATAGAAATGGATACTAACTATTCAAAAAAATCACATAAAAATATTTAAAAAATAAATAATTGTAAATATATATAATCATACCCAGCAAAATATCTCCCCAAGTAATGTTTTCCTAATAGTAGATATCTTGGTTTTTAATACCTATACTTCGTAGAACATAAATATCTCTCAAAGTATCTTGTGTTTGGTAGCTATACCAGTGCATACAGCACTTACATAATAGTTTGGTGAGAGGTTTGGACCTTGTCGAGAACCTCTCACCAAAATTTGCTCAAGAATTTTTGTAATTGAACAGAAAGAACAAAACCAAGAGAGACAGAAAATATTTTCATTTAATAAATAAAATACTTTCTTACTGGAACTACTTGGTTTTTATTTTCATTTCAGTTTACACAACAGAGGAACTGATATAAACAAGATCAACCATCTTTGTTTGGATTGGAATTTGGAGTTGAAATAAACA